TGTTTTTTTAAGTACTTCTCTAAAATATTAGAAAATATTAAAAACTGCTTCTACAAAATCTACGAAAGGCCAAACTAGCTAGTGTACTGAAGCCTTCTATTCCTTTGTTGCAGCAAACAAGAAAATGGGTCAATTTGAAAATTCAACCAATAGATCCCATGTACCGTATTAGTCTCCAGATTGTCATGTTGCGTTTACTAAACTTTTCATTCTCATCCTCTCAAATTTAATGGTTATGATTATAGAACTAGTGTCTGAAGTGTTCAACAAATATTTTTTTTCCTCCATAACGCAACTTCTAAACTTGTTCTTCGTTACTTGTCCTACATAAACTTTCCATCAATTAAATTCAACGGTCTAAAACTTTTTCATTTCAAGACGAAATAAAAAATTTATTTTTTGCACATAAAAATTATATTAATTGTGTTCTCCAACATGAAATTCACTTTGATATTTTAGTATTAATAGTGGACGGCCCCAACTGAATTGCTAGCTGACGGCAACTAATATTTTCAAATTTCACATTAAACAAAAATTCAACTTGATAAAATCCTACATCAACAAGCAACATCGTCGATCTTGATCCTAGTATGATTCTGTTTCTCTAGTGTTTCCCCGAATTTCCGATGAAGTCTATATTTTTTTGGTGAATATGGCGATTTTCATGAGAGATTAGGCGTGCACCAAAGGTTTAGGGGCCGGAATCACGATGGGTCGCTGGCTATGATGACATTTAGCATCGGCTAAGAAACTCATCAACGTTTCTAGAAGTGATTGTCAGACGGGTGATGCTTTCTTCGATGCAATTTTTTTTTTTTTGCTTAAAACATGGTTTATGATAGAGTTTGACCGATATCAGGGTTTGTTCACTTGCGAAGTGATGAAGCGCATTGGAACGAACACAACAAGCAAAATAATCAACTCGACTCGACAACCAACAACGACAACAACCAGAACAACAAGCATCTATCTTCCTCCTCCTAAACGATCCACTCCCCCCCAAACTCTTAACCTTCCTTTCCCCCAAACCACCTACCTTCTATTTCAATCGATCCAATTCTACTACGATGTCTTTTTAGAAGCCAAATCGTCTCAACCTCCACTAATAACAATCAATTGCATTGATGTGTACTGTGCTCTACGCGGAATAAAATTCAATATTACATATCTCACCATCCTACAACTATATTGCTGAAGATAAATTAAATACGTTGCATAGTTTTAGTTATTCCCATACTACTATATAATAACTTGAAGGGGTGATGATCTCTCTTTTAACGTAATTTTCATCCAAAAGAGTAGTCAAAGATGAGGGAATTTGAAACTCTTCATTTAGATTATTAAATGCCAAATGATATGGCATAAGTACCCGAACAAACTTTTTGTTTTTTTTTTTTGGAATCACGATTACTTCTGCTAACAAACAACACCTCCCTTCCAATTTGATTATACACATGAGAACGTAGTAATTAATAATACGAATGGTTGAATCAAGAAAGAGGAATTAATGCCAATTAATCCAAATCACAATATCATTAATGAATTATTTTATACAAGAAGAAGATATCCAAATCCTGCGCACTCTTGATCGATGTTATATATATATATATATAAAAGCAGCTACCTACTTCCAGTACTGCTCAACATCCATACATACATATATATCCAGCTTAAACCTCAAGCATACCCAGCCATGGCGATGAAGATCACTAAGTTGGCCATCTTGCTTCCCTTCATCTTATGGGTCGTCCTAATCCCATGTACTGTATTTCCCCATTCCTCTCTTTTTCGCTTCTTTCTTCTTCATCCTCGTACTGCATTCGCTTTTTTTTTTGTCATATATAGGTGTATAATGTATTCATTTTATTAATTATCCATCTTATTTATGTATTATAGGAAAATACTGGATAATTAATTAGGATTTTTTTCAAAGCTATTCATCCCAACAATCCCCCACTTTAATAGTTTTGAAACTATCTTGAGCATCAACACAGTTCCATAAGATCGGGCTTAACGTAGTGGTTACACTGCCGATTTCATAAGGGTGACTCGTAGTCTTGAACCCTATCTCAGACAATGTAGCACACCGGATCTTTTCATTGAGTGATATTCTCTCATAGGCCGTGCGTTTATTGACATGCACGTTATCCCGGTTTAGCGAACGATCTAACAACTTTGTGCCTCCAAAGTTCCATATATAGGGAGCTAATTAGAAATTTCATTTATAGCTTTTCAAAGCTATTCATCCCAACGTAATGTCATAGATAGGTGTTCTCTTTTTTTTTTATATATACCGTAAGTATTAATGATTTTCCTGATGAGCACATGAATGCATGCAGGCCTTGTGCCTTCAAGCGAATCGGCGAGAACAATGGGTTCCAACAATTCTAGCAGCACAGATCATGATCAGATCAATCTCAGGTACGAAACGAAAACTCGATCCCGTCAGCTACACATCCACCTTTATTCATTTTAAGGTTGTTAAACCTCCGGCAGCTCGCTTATGTTAGCAGCTTTTGATCCTAAACAGTAACAGAGGGAGTAGCCGTGGCACAAACTCCAGCAATACTAGTAATGCTTCCGTTCAGACAGACTGTATTGCTGGTTGCACCTACGAAAACTGCTTTCAGAATTACGCGTGTGATCAGCCTGACTTATACTACGCGGATTGCGACTGTGACCGTAATGAATGCAGGTGCTTTCCTGCTTAATAGAGGCGCGCGCGTGTTTTCCTTGCTTCCTAAGATAATAAGTCCACTACGTACACAGTTGCAAGCAAGCTCTTGTGGGAGGAGCTAGCTAGTGAAGGTTTAGTCAAATAATAATTGTTGTAAGCGAATCATCTATGAAATTATCGGCTTTTAATTATTGTAATACGCGTTTTATCGAATAAAAAAATTGGTTCTAATACCAAAATTGCGTATGCATAATTATTTTACATTATTATTGTCGTTTCTGTTATCAATTACAATCGATTAATCGATGTCAAACGACAGACAAACGATCCTAATCTAATGCTTAGGTTTTTCATTTTTGTGATGTGTAATCTAGTCATCTTAACGAGCTAAGTATTTGAATTAAAAGAAGGCCAAAGGCGAAAATGAACGAATGAGTCACATTACAAGAGGAGATTAAACTTGGTTTTCTATTAGACTTTTTTTCTTGAAGAGAGTTCATTCTTTGCAAATTGCATGTGTTTTATAGTTAGGGAGAATTGATTTTGAATCTAATTCAACCATTGTACTTAAATTCAAAAGACAAGTACCAAGTGGCACAACTTTGAATTAATGCTTTACAAGATACACATAGCCACTATAAAGGAACGATATAAGATCACTGCTGATATTTATTTATTTTCCACTACTCAAGTTATGGTGACCTATTCTTTCTTGAAATTTTTATCAAGTTTTTAATCGACTAGTGTTGAGTATTCGAATCTCCAATATCATTCATTAATTTGGACGTATCGTATATATGATGGACCTGCACAAATGTTTTGCTAATGCATTAACTTTATTTAAGTAGATATATAAAGTGAATGATATAAAATCTTATGTTAATCTCAGTCAACAACTCAAATTAGTGAAACATATGAATTCTTGAGACCCACAACCTTATGCTATATATAGTCATCAACAACATCCGACGACCTCATTTCCAAACTGTGCAAACTTCAAATCCACATGAGTTGCTTGAATTTGAGTAGCATGTTAGTATGTGCTATAAAATCTATTAGTGAATCTCTACAACAACTTGAATTATTGAGACCAACGGGTTATTAACGCATTTTGCATTGGAGAAAAGAATATGTATAAGTATTTTTTTTATTACCCAGTAACCTCAACCTCTCTACTAAACCTGGGGAGTACCTGCATTAGCAACATTTTCAAGGCCTAGCACTTGATACTGGGGGAGATTTCGTATCCAGCACTCGCGGTGCCTCCGGGAACACCAAGTGGTGTAGCGGGGTTCGAACTGAGACCTCACACATCTCAAGCCCGAAAGACCACACTCCCGACCAACTTGACTGTGTTACCTTTGGCAAGAATGTATCAGTATTACTCTCTCGAAACAACAAGAAAAATTATAGCCTCCTGAATCCTAATGGTGCCGTTTCAATGGCTGCTATTTTCATAAGCCGATGTACAAGTAACTCCAAAACTAACTAAGGTGATTGTCCTCGTCCAATGACAGCAAATCCCATATAGGCGTCACAAGAAAGAAGCATAGAATTCGAATTCTTTAGCCAAAGAAGCGATCGAGTTGGGAATCCCCGTTCAAATTTATTTCACTGATTGTTTAATTAATCTCCACGAGCACTCTTCGTACAATATATTTATAGCAGTAAGCAACTAGCGGTACTTTAGTACTCAGTCTGCATACCTAACGACGAGCTTCCTAGTAAAAATTGGCTGATTAATTAGTTGATGATAATGCATGAGAAAACAAGTTTTTTTTTTGGTGAAAAGAAAACAAGTTATTAATTACGAGCAAAATACAAATGAATTTGCATGAATAATTTATATTTATGGCGCAACTTGCACAAAGAAACATTATCCAAAAATGTGTTAAGAAAGATCGAAAATGGGTTCATTCATTCTATAATTTCTTCTTTTTTTTTTTTGGTAGAAGGCAGGTGCAAACAGCACCCTAGCTCATTTCATTAATCTCACGACAACAGGAAATCCCCATGTTGTCGTAGAACAACCAATAGCAAAGGTTCGGATCGCTCACATTGAAGGGATGTGAGCCAAAAGACAAGGCGTGACCCTTGTTAGCAAGAAAATCAGCAGCGAAGTTACATTCACGAAAAACATGCCTAATTTTAACAGTCCAATCCCTCCTAAGTAACTCCCCAAAATGATCAGCAACAGCACCATGGCAGTGATCAGTTTGATCCCTGTTGTTGATGATGTTAAGAGCTGTGGTTGAGTCAAGATTGAGCTCAACTTTTCTGTAGCCGAGAGTCCATGCCCTCTCCAGGCCCTCCGCCGCTGCCTTCAGTTCAGCTCTAGTAATAGAGCAAACTCCAAGATTAGAAGAAAACGCCCCCAGACATCTACCAAGGTGGTCTCGAAGTAGGCCATCTGCAGCAGCACGTCCTGATGGTTGGATAACAGATCCATCTGTTTGGACCTGGATCCAGCCTTCACTTGGGGGTTTCCAAGCAATCTCCCGGTTTGTTTTGCTGTTCCTCATTGGCAGTAGGCTTTTCTGAACATTTGAAGCAGCTTGCTTGTTGATGTTGATCCAAGCATTGATCTTGGAAATCAGTCCCGCTTCTGAGTACGTTTTGCCATCCATCACTTCTTCATTTCTCTGTTTCCAGAGTTTCCAGCAGACAATCCCAAAGTCGACACCTCTGCTCTGGTCCATTAGGTTTCTGTTCAGCCAATTTTGGAAGGTCACTCTGCTGTCATTTTCCACCAGTTTGTCATGAAAGTGTCTCCAAACGTCCGAGGCCTTCGAACAGTCTCTTAGAATGTGCTATGTGGTTTCTTCTGCTGTGCTGCAATGGTTACACATCTTGTTCCCTGTCAACTTCTTTTTTTCTCTTTCTTTGTTGGTCAGCAGTTTCTCATGGCTGGCTAACCATAAGAAGTGCTTAATACGACTTGGCCCCTTCCACTTCCAGAGATCCTTCCAGAATTGCACCGGTGAGCTTTCCAGATCTCCAGCCACCAGAGAGTATGCTGATTTGAGTCTAAACCGCCCATCCTTCTCGATTCCCCATATTGTTCTGTCCTCCCCACTTCCTGCTCTTGGCGCCTCAATTCCTGCAATAAGATTAATCAAACTATCAGGGAGGTAAAGTCTCATTCTTCCCCAGTCCCACTCACCTCTGTCATCAACCCAGCTGGCCACTGATGCATTGTGTTCCTCCTCAGTCAGCACTCTTTGGGAAAAATCCTGAAGCACCAGCCCATTGGAAACCCAAGGTTGGGTCCAAAACCCAGTAGTTTCCCCATCCCTAGGACTCCAGAGGGTTGCCTGCTTCATGTATGGCATTGCTTTGACAATCCCCTTCCACAGACTGAAATGATTACTTTTCTTCATCTTGTGAATTTTGCCATCTTTGTGGTGGAAGTACTTCCCCTGTAAGACTTTAACCCACAATTCATCCTCGTTATTCAGCAAGTTCCAAGCCAGTTTCACCATGTAAGCTAAATTCATAATCCTAGCAGATCTAAGACCCAGGCCCCCCTGATTCTTCGGTTTACACACAGTTTCCCAAGAAATCAGGTGCACTTTCTTCTTCCCCTCATACGAACCCCAGACAAAGCCCCTAATCTTTTGGTCAATGGCATCACAGATAGAGAGGGGCAGGAAAGAGGTTTGCATGGCATAGGAAGGGATGGCATTGAGCACACTCGTAGCAAGAGTAACCCTTCCTGCCAAGGAAAGGGTTCTGGCTTTCCACGAGGAAAGTCTCCTATCCATGTTCTCCAAAATGTAACGAAAAGTGACCTTAGACATCCTGCCATGTAGGACAGGTACACCAAGGTACCTACCTAGGTCAGGGGTCGACTGGATACCAAGTTTAGTACAAATAGATTGTCTATCACAGATCCTAGTATTCTTAGAAAAGAAGACCCTAGACTTGTTCTTGCTAATCAATTCCCCTGAGGCATTACAGAAGGAGTCCACACACTTCATAATGACTTCAGCTTGTTTACAAGAGGCCTCGGCAAAGAGTACCAAGTCATCAGCAAAAAACAAGTGGGACAGTTCAGGGCAGTGGGGAGCAATTTTAACTGGTTTCCAACATTTACTCTTAACTTCATTCAATATGCAATGACTGAGTCTCTCAATGCATAATGTAAAAAGGTAAGGTGAGAGGGGACATCCCTGGTGTAATCCTCTAGTAGGTTTGAAGCGCGCTGTCTCTCCTCCATTCCACAGAACCTGCATCTCCGTTGAAGTGACACATTCCATGATCATGCGCAGGCAGCTCTCAGGGATATCAGCAGCCCTCAGGGTGCTTTCCAGGAAATTCCAATCGATCCTGTCGTAAGCTTTTGCCAAGTCCACCTTCAGAAGCATTGTTCCCTTCTTCCCAGTCTTCTTGGCCATAGAATGGACAGTTTCCTGCAGTAAGATAATGTTGTCAGTGATGTGCCTATTAGGGACAAAACTAGATTGGTTTTGGTGAACCAGAGCAGGCATGAGATTCCTAAGCTTATAAGCAATGCATTTAGCTATAACCTTGTAACCCACATTGCAAAGACTAATAGGCCTAAACTCATTCATAGTCAGAGGAGCTTCTGTTTTAGGGATCAAAGCAAGTAAAGTTTGATTAATCGATCTAATATTGGACGGGTTAGAGAAACAAGAGATAATAAAGTTTGAGAAGTCTCCCCCAATTTGTTCCCAACACTTCTGAAAGAAGATTGCTTGGAATCCATCTTTCCCAGGCGCTTTGAGGCCATTCATCTCCATGACAGTTGCTTTGATTTCCTCCATACTGGGTGGGGTGCTGAGTCTTCTTTTGGCTCGTTCATCAATGCTGGGGAAGTCAGCTGGGATCTCCTGCTGATGATCGGTGGCATCCTTTGAGTAGAGTTCCACAAAGTACTCTCTTGCCATGACTTGCAGGACTTCAGGGTCAGTGACCCAGTTGCCCTCGCCATCTCTTAGACCTGTAATCCTATTTCTTCTTCTTCTACTTATCATGCTCTGATGAAAGAACCTGGTGTTCTGGTCTCCATGAATAATCCAGTTTGCTCTGGATTTTTGTAGCCATAAGATTTCCTCCTGCCAGAGTGTCTCTTCCAGCTCTTCTCTTACCTGGCTTTCCTGCAATTTAGTCTGGAAGCTAGGGGACTTGTCATTTTTCTCCTCCAGACTCTGCAAACGGCTCCACAGGCTCCTCTTCCTTTTGAAGATGTTGCCAAAAACTTCTCTATTCCAAATCTTAAGTTTGGTAGAGAGATCCTGCAAAGCAAGGGGAAATGCATTACCCGACTTCCAAGCCTTATTCAAGAAGGGAAAGAAATTATCATGCGCAATCCAGGGAGCTAAGAACTGAAATCTTCTCACCAGATTACTCTTATCCGCTGGTACATCACTGCTGAGGAGGATAGGCCTATGGTCAGAGCGGAGCTTAGCCAAATGGAGATAAGTTGACTTCGGGAAGGCTCTCAACCACTCTGAGTTACAAATGCAGCGATCCAAACGTTCCTTAATCCTTGTTTTCTTTGTGAACCAAGTGAATTTCGGCCCCGTGAACCCCAAGTCAAGGAGTTCATTCTCCTCCATACAGTTGTTGAGGGCTCTGACTTTAGCACTATTGAAGGGTGCACCTCCTTGCTTCTCCGAGGATTTGGATATGGAGTTAAGGTCTCCTATCAGAATCCAAGGGATGTCAGTTACCCTACCAATCCGCCCAATTGACTCCCACAGTTCACCTCTCATATGCTCATTTGGGCTAGCATAAATGGCTGTCAGTTGACAAACACCTTTGTCACCCATGAAGCACTTGAGGTTGATGAATTGTCTGTGGCATTCAATGAGTTCCAACTTCATTTGATCTTTCTTCCACATCACCCAGATCCCCCCACTGAAACCAATAGCATCTGACACTTCCCATGCGTCGAATCCAAGAGACTTGATCACATTGATAGCATCACCACCACTGATCCTCGGTTCCAGGATACAAACCACATCAGGCATATACATTTTCAGGTAAAACTCCATAGTGGAGTGAAATTTCGGGTGCTTTGCACCTCGACAGTTCCAGGAAAAGACTTTAACCATAATAGAAAAAGTGGTTTCCCAGCTCCAACCCAAAGGGTAAGAAAATCAAGCGGAGTCGACGGCCATAGCCGTCACTGCCATACCTTTCTCATTGGTCCCTTCCTCCTTTGGACTCAGGTCTGCATTTTCAGGCAGCATCCTAGCTTTAGCTGAGCAAGCATCAAACTCCAGCTTTCGCGTAGGGTTCCCACTATCTGGGGTTGGATTGGTGTCCGTCTGGGAATCGCACAGGAGAGGTGAGGCAGGGTTCTTCATCTTTGGTTGGTGACCTGCAAGAGTCTCAACTGTTTGATCCTTCGCCTTTCCAGTCTTTCTAATTTCCGGGGTTCTCTGAGAGGAACTTGTCGGATGCTTAGCTGGGGCTTTAAATTTATCCTCTTTCACCGCCAATTTCCCCATCCCAGGAGTCCCACTCCCCTGCTTAGAACTTCCTGAGTTCTTGGAGTTGGGCTTAGCCCCTGAGGAAGAGATTAGCGGAGAGGCTTTCTGGTTTTCCTTCCTCCCAGTTTCCTTTGCTTGCTGTTCCTTCTTCTGCTTCTCCTGTTTATGGGCACTCTCTTTTCCCTGCTTAGCATTCTTCGGAATTTCCTTGGTTTCTTCGTTCATGTCTCTCCTCTCATCCTGAGTGCTCTTCACATGTTCAACTCTCTCATTCTGTCCACCCTCTAAGGCAGTATTTTCTTCTTTATCCCCCTCTTGCACTTCCTCCTCTAATGCACTAAATCTCGATCCTCCTCTAGGCTCTTTCTTGGTCGGCTCAGTTGTATTCTGTTCAGTCTTTACAACTGCAACCCACTGCTTATTTTTCTTTCTTTTAGTCCTTGCTGCAATCATCCATGGCCCGAAGTCTTCAACGACCTCAGGTCGTATCTCTTGTTTACTCTGCTGGGTTTCTTCTCTTGTTCTTTGCTCCGGTGTAGTATTTTCCCTTTCCTCAGAGCGGGGGCATTTGCCTTCCAAGTGTCCATAGTGGCCACATTCATAGCACACTGTATCTAGACCTTCATATTCCACCATCCTGACTCTTCGCTTTAATCTGTATTTCGGTACCAGCCACTTTCTGAGATCGATTTCAACACAAATCCTTGCATAATTCCCCCTGAACCCATTCAAAGTGTTGTAGTCGATCTTGACCACTCTCCCCAATCGGCTGCCGATATTCGTCAGAATTTCTTCATCGAAATACGCCATAGGCAGCCTGGGCAAGCGAACCCAGACCATTGTGTTGTTTATGACATCAAAGTCCGGATCAAAATCAAGTCTCCACGGCTCCGAGGCTATATACTGTTCATCCACCGTCCATGGCCCACCATACAGAGCACGGTTGTAGTCGAGTTGAGACCCAAATATGGCTTGGTAATAGCCATTT